TCTTTTACCTGCTGCTTCTCCAAAAATCTGCCTGGGTTTGGTTCCCTTTTCCCCCCCCCCTCTTTTTGGTTACCTCTTTTTCTTGCCCCACCCCCGCATCCCCCGCTCCCAATCCCCCATCCTCCATTTGAAAGGTGTCATGGAAGAGACTACGGGCCCAAAATGCTGAGCCACCTGCCCTTTCTTTTCTTTTTGTGAGAAAAATTTATATTTAGAATTAGCCCGCTGGACTCAGTTTAGATGATCCCAATTTTGTTGGCAACATACAAAGCATCATAGTCAGGACCAAGTTGAATATAGGCTTTCTTCTCTCCATCAGGCCTAATCAAAGTGTTGACCTTAGCCACACCAGTGTCATAGAGCTTCTTTACAGCTTGTTTGATTTGGTGCTTGTTGGCCTTGACATCCACAATGAACACAAGTGTGTTGTTATCTTCTATCTTCTTCATGGCTGACTCAGGGTCAGGGTAAATTTGATGATGGCATAGTGGTCAAGCTTGTTTCTCCTGGGGGCGCTCTTCCGGGGGTATTTGGGCTGCCTTTGGAGTCTCAGCATCTTAGGCCGCTGGAAGGTTGTTTTTGGCTGTGGACGCCTTTCAGGACTGCCTTCTTGGCCTTTAATGCCTTTGCTTTGGCTTCAGTTTTGGGAGGGGCAGGGGCTTCCTTCTTCACTTTCAGCGCCATCTTCGTAGAAAACCACCTGCCCTTTTTTTCTGTCTCCCTTAGTAAACCTCTGAGTGAACTGATCTTAGTTTTTGTTTTTTTAACTATTTTCAAAGCTAAGACCTCATACACACAAAAATGCACAAACAATGCAAATCAACAGAGAAGCTGTAAATGTGTGTACAGTTACATGGTAATGTACAAAAGACTGTAGTTGATCTAATTTTTCCCCCTTTTGAGTTATTTTACTTCTTTTTTTGTTTGTTTGTTTTGGAAAGATGCGCACTCTCTAACCTGGAGGTTATTGTTATATATGTATACATTTCTTTATTTATTTGGTTCCCTTCCTCTCTGGGTTTCCACAGCTGCTGCCCTAGTTTTCTTTACTCCTTTCCTGTTCTGACTTGGGGACCTTCTGGGGGAGGGCTGCGACGCTTGACTGTTTGTGGGGTGACAGAACTCAGGCAGGACGGCTGTGCTGCAGCTCCCTGACTGCCATGGGCCCCTCCACTCACTTACCCAAGTGGCTTCTGGGGGTGCTGGGACGGGGGTGTTGCTGACCTGTATATACAGCATAGATATATGACAAGCAGTTCTGGATGGATTGCCTTCTGGGGCCTCTCTGGGGCTGTCTTTTGAGCAGCAAGTAGCCTGCTAGTTTTATCTAAGTGAAATACTGTACAGGGGAATACAAGAGATCTTAACTTTTTTTATTAAAAAAACCTGACAGGTTTGAGGTATTGACCAATGATTGAAGACCAGATGAGTTGTGGAATGATATCAAGGATATCATTCATGAAGAAAGCAAAAGGTCATTAGAAAAACAGAGGAGAAAGAAAATCAAAACAATAATAAGATTAAATTACTATACACACAGATAATTCTTATAAAAGGAAATTAGGGGTCCATTTGAATCTAAAACACAACTTCATAGTAATTTTTAAAACCCAAACTCACTACTACCAGTTGTCTCTGCCTCACAGCAACCCTCCACAGGGTTTGTAAGGCTCTAAATCATAATAGTGGAGGTTCAGAGACAGAGAGGAAGAACCTCAAAAAGACTCAAACAATGCACTTGAGTCTCTCAAAGATGGTGAGCAAGCACAGGACAGGGCCAGGTTCCGATCTGTTGTCCACAGGGTTACTACTTGTCATACTCCACAACAGCAACAACCAATCATAACGGGAAGAGACTGCTCACCCTGCGTCAGGAAGTCACCGGCAATTCAAACACCTGGAGACTCACAGCCTTTGGTTAGCAGTGAAACTTACTGAGGATTACACCAGGATTCTCTAGTAATTTATGGGGGGCGGGGGGGCTGGGAGATGGAAAACTTGTCTTTACAGAAAAAGAGCCATGATGGGGCTATTGGCTGAGTTATGCTGCTAACCCAAAGGCATGCAGGTCAAATCCAGCAGGAGCTCTGCAAGAGAAAGATGGGCAATCTCCTACTGTGCAATTTATAGTCTCTAAAAGCCCACTATGAGTCAGTTCTAAATGGCACATAATAATACAACACATAAAAGAAATGATAGAATAAAATATAATTATTTGTACCTATCACAGCAATAATCAACACATGCAAAATTAATTAACAGATGCTTCAGGTGAAATGGGAACAGGATAGTGTTTCAAAGCACCATCCAGGATTCATTACCAAGGGAAAAGACCCTTAGCAAAGACAGTCTAGCAACTAGCCCCAGGCATGGGATTTCATGTGCATGCGGATACATGGGTGTTGGTTTTAGATGTCATCATGTTAAGCACGACTCATAGAGGCCCTATGACCAACATCAGAACCCTGTCCTATCCTGTGCCATCCTCACAATCTCTGATACACTTGAGCTCACTGCTGTGGTCACTGTGTCAATTCACCTGCTTGAGAGTCTTCCTCTCTTTTGCTGACCCTCTATCTTCCCAAGCATGATGTCCCTCTCCAAGGAAAGCCTCTCCTGGCAAGAACTGATGGTCTCAGGGTGAGAACTATAGATGGTCAGGAACATGGGACACAGGAAGATACCCTGCATAGGTGAGGGGTGATGGCCTCTGAATGCCCACTGTACTTGTGCATCTCTTCTCTGTACTCCCAACTCTTTGAAGGTTTTTGTCTTGAAATTATTTCAGTAGAGTAAGTGAGGTGGGGGAGGATATAAATAGAAAATTTATAAGCCAAAACAAATGCATAAAGAGCATTTATTTTTTCTATAAAACAAATTAACATGTGTCCTTCCTGGCCTCTGAGGAAGTCACAAGCTGACACTGACCTATCTATCCCAGCACCACCCCAGCCCCACTTATTCCTCTTGGGCTGCTGCCACCTCCCTGCAGATTCCTACACTGTGACTAAAGCTACAGCTTCCAGGTGGGTCTCACTGTTTCCAACCTTGCTTCACGTTAACCTCACACTAGGAACCTCCTAAAGGTTGTTTCTATAATGATCCTAAGGACTTCACAGGTGAAGCCTCATTGCCCTGTCCAGGCATTCTGTATGTCTCTATCTGGCCTCATCCTATGTGACTTCTCCCACCCATCCTCCCATATGGTCTCCAGATCAGCCAAGGGTCCATATCCAGAAGCAGTATGAATGGAAGAAAAGAGATTTGCAGGAATATTACAAGCAAAGGCTTAGAGCTGGATGTGATGGGATAGGATGGGATGGGACGGGACGGGATGGGACGGGACGGGACGGGACGGGACGGGACGGGACGGGACGGGATGGGATGGGATGGGATGGGATGAGGGAGCAAGGAAAATCCCTCTAGACCCCCTCTGGCCCACCTCCCCTCGTCTTTAGTACTTACATATCCTTCATTCTGGATATTCTCTGTAACTATGCTCTCCACCTGCTCCCCAGAGCTAAGCCCTACACATACAACAACTCCCCCAAATTGTCCTCCAACCTGAAGGCCTCCTCATCATCCTTGCCTCAGGGGTCTTTTCCACAAAGTCAGCAAGCTGCACACTCTCTAGGAATGCTAGGGCAGTATCTGATTACAGGAGCAGAATACATTTTTGGCTGCTTAAGGTGACATGTATAGGTATGTCTGCAGGTAACAACTGGACCGTTATGAAGATGCAGCCAATGTTAGCCCACAGCCCCGTCCATCAAATGATCCCATTTGGGTGGGAGAAGATGGCTGTAATAGCTGGCATTTAGAGGAAGCTGACAGTGCTGCAATCAACCACTTTGCAAGCACTGACACAGCAGACATGTCCACCTTCAAGCAGTCCTTCAGTGTAGTCACTCTAGGCTCATTTAAAGATGAGGAATCAGACATAGAAAGATAAAGTTACTGGACCAAGGTTGCACAGCTAACAGTGGACTGGATGCTGGTGGCTGGGGCTGAGCCTGTGGTCCTCTCAGTTAAGCTTTGACAAGCCCTTTAACTCAGGATGTAAATTTTAAGCTGTTGCGTCACTCTAAACTCACCGCCTTTGCTCATCAGGTGCCCTTCATATGGAAGGTCTCACCCAACTGGTCTGACAAACTCTTTCATGTCTCCAAACTCAGCAGATATCCCTCTTCAACAGCGATTCCTAGCAGTTGCCACCCTGCAGCCTGGCAGCACTCTAAACGGCAGGTAGCCTGCAGACGCCTGTATGTGCATACACACCTTGTCCCCGACCCTGGGAAGTTGGCAAAGAACAAGAACCAAATCTCAGTCATTTATCTATCTACTGCACATCATGACAGAGGTGATGAACAGTGACAGCAGAGCTGACCGGCAGAAGTAGGTCTAGTGATCAGCGGGGGAAGAAGGGCGGGTATAGGAGTGAGTTCTAAGGAAAGATTCTAAGTACTGCATGTGCTAAAACAATGGGCTCACCCAGCACCCAGACCTGGTTTTCTAAACATCATTGATGAAAAAGCTCATGGGAAAAAGGACAGATCCTAGGGGGTACAGCAGACATGCAGAATTAGCCCAGAATATGATGTTGGGCTCAAAATACAAACACTGGAGCACCAGAGACACATTGGAGCCAACCTGGAGACCCCCAAAGACCAATTTTGGACAATGTTAGCAACAAAGAAAATAATATGGTACTGAATTACAGCGCCCTGGATGATCTGTTCTGCATACAGATTGAAAAGGTATGGAGACAAGATACATCCCTGATGGACACCCTTCTTAATTTTGAACCATGTGGTGTCTCCTTATTCTGTTCTGACTATTGCCCCTTGGGTGAGCATCTAATGAGAAGGACCATCAGTCAGCTGGAGTGTTCCCTCTTCTCCAGGCCCACCTGCCCAAATGCAGACACAGGGATGCAGGATTTTCCAATCCCCCACCAGCAGAGCCAAGAGAAGACTGCCTCCCTCCCCATCGGGACTTACTTGAAGCCTTTGTCGTCAACGTGGCAGTGTGCTGCAGAGACCAGCCAGGTGGGGGAGATAAGTGAGGCCCCGCAGACGTGGCCCTGGCCCAGGGCATGCAGGCTCACCTGCCAGGGCCACTCGCCTTCATCCGCATCCTGTCCCCCAACGACGCGTGACTGCCTGCTGAATGACCGCTGCCCACAGTCTGCAAAGTGCATCCCCGGACATGGTGAGTCAAGGGGACAGCAGACAACAGGGGTCCCGTCTTGGGCTCAGCACCTCAGGGTGGCACAGGTCTGGGGAGGTGCCTCTGGAGTGTCCCTCAGCACTACTACAGCAATGAGGCATAAGGACCCTCCAGTGTCTTCAACTTCAAAGACTTCTCCCTTCTCACTCTGCCATCTCCCCACCCTGCCATGTACACGCAACAGGGCCATTGCATAGATCTGATTTGGATCTGGTTCGCACAGGTCTCCTGAATACTGAAGGCCAGGACTCTTTCTAGCCCCAGAGGGAAGAGAGGACAGGTGTCATGGAGGCCACAGAATGACCACAGCCATCAATCAATGTTCATGTCAGGACCACCCTCTCTCCCCCAGCAGCAGGAGGCCACTAGTGTTGTCAATGCCACCTGCTCCCCTGGCAGGAGGATACCCAGGTGCTCTCTGTGCACAAGGCAGGGGCAACCCAACCACTGTGGCCAGGAGAGCAGCTAGCCATACCTGGGAACCCAGTGTGATGACAACCCAGGACCTCACCATGAAGGCCACAGCTAGGCCATGGAGACCTCAGCAAAGAAACACAGCTAATCCATGGAGACCTCACCACAGCCATGAGGATCTCACTACAGGGACCCCACCACAGCTAACCCATGGGGTTACCACAGGGACCCCACCATGGGGACCTCACCACAACTAACCTGTGAAGATCACACCAGGGGGCCACAGCTAACCTATGGGGACCTCACCACGGGGACCATAGCTAACCCACAGGAGTATCTTTAAGGAAAAGCCCTTGTGGACAGTAACAGCCCCTTGGATGACAGGTCTTGGCAGTGGATGTACTAGCCTGACTTCAGCCTCCTTATACTGAGGAGCAGGTAGCCTGCCCAGTGTACACCAGCCCGGGGTACCAGTGCCTTGCTCACCACAGTCCTTTTCGTCTGAGCCATCGCTGCAGTCCTTTATCCCATCACACTCTGGGTTACCCTTGTTCAAGCAGAGACCGTTGTGGCAGCGATAGGTGCGTGAGGTGCAGGTAACAATGCTCACTGCCCAAGGATGAGAACAGAGAGCCACATGCCACCCAGTTAGTGCCAGAAGTGTGCGGGTGGGACCCGATCACCCATCTATCTATGACCCTCACTCGGGTCAAGTCATGTTTGTAAAGCACGTGTTGCCTCCTCTCCCTGAATGCCATGGTCAAGGTGGCACCCTCCCAGGAGCCCCAGGGTACACTCAGCAATCAGGTGGTGACTACTAGATTGGGTGGTGGGCTGCCCTTCACAGCAGCATCATGGAAAGAGACCCTGCAGGACAGGACTGGACCCAGCTCTTCCCCCAGCTCCTCCGCTCCTGCCACTCGATGCCAGTGCTCACCTTTGTCACATGTGGCTTCATCTGACCCATCTCCACAGTTGTCCTTCCCATCACACTGCTGGCTCAGTGGGAGGCACTTTCCATTGCCACATTTGAAGGTCTGGGCTGGACACTCTGTGAAGCCCAGATGCTTAGAGAGGGTTACTCATCCATCCACCCCCACCTACCCCAGGGCTAGGGCGCGCCAAGCAGCAGTTGTCCCCAAGGAGTGTCCCGTGACTCACTGCAGCCCTGCTCATCACTGCCATCCCCACAGTCGTTCAGGCCATCACACAGCCAGAAGAGGGGCTTGCACAGCTTGTTCTTGCATGTGAATTGGTGCGTGACATTGCATACTGGAGGGAGGAGGGGGAGGTCCCACAGACCAGGGTCAGCTGGGGCTGAAGTCCTCACAGCACCCTGAGATTGCCAGGGGACCCCACTCTCACCCAAAGGATGAAGCTGGGGTGTCCCTGTCTACCAAGTGTGGAGCTGACCTGGCAGAAATCAAGATTCCCACAGCAGAAGTGGGCAGGGCTCAGGCTAGATTTGAACACAAGGGGTGCCTATGGGAACTAGCCTGGACAGGGGCAGCATAGACGGAGCTCAGGACCTCAGGACCCACTCACCACAGTTGAGCTCGTCACTGTAGTCTGCGCAGTCGGCCCAGCCATCACAGCGCAGAGCCTTCCGGATGCACCGTCCCGTGTTGCAGGTGAACATTCCTGGGCATGCTGTGGGACAGGGCAGGCCTGAGATCCACAGCCACCCCACCAGCCTCCCATACTCAAGACAGAAAGTTCTCCCATGGTCCTAGTCTGTGGCCTCAAGACAGGACCTCCCAGCCCCCAAAGTGTGCTTCCTCCTAACATGCCGCTGCCTGACAAAGCAGCCTACAGCCACAAAGCTGGTGATGAGGGACAGCGTGGGCTCTTAGCATGAGACCAGCCCTGAGAGACTTGTGACTGGCACCCTAGCAAGGAGGCTGTCCTGAACGTGTAATCAGTCCTGCTTCTGTGCACCCCTGCCTGCTGTGGCCCTCCTCTGGCCTGGGCACCAACCTGGACATGGAGGTAGCTCAGGGTGAAGGCGGGCCTGCCCTCCTCACTACCCCACGCTAAAAACACAATCTGTAATACCCAGGCCACATTGTAATTTTCCTGAAGATGGGAAGCCTCTGACAATTAATGTCAAAATGGAGTATCATTAGGCAGATGACACTGTGAAGTCACTGTCACCACTATACCGTAACCTGTAGGGTATGCTGCCAGTGGCATGATGGTTAAGTGTTTGACTACTAGCCAAAAGGTTGGCAGTTCAAATCCCATAGGTGATCAATGGAAGACAAGAGCTGGCAATATGCTCCCACTAAGATAAAAGCCCAGGAAACCCTACCTCATACTATAGGGTTGTTCACTCATTGTTGTCAAGTTTGAAGAGACTCTCCAGTGGGTGTCCTGAGATGGTCATCACACAGGAAGAGTCTGCCCATCTTTTTCCCACAGAGTAGCTGATGGATTCAAATCCCCAGAGAGGTGCCACTTTTGGATTAACAATACAACGCCCTGCAGACTGCACCACCAGAGCTCCCCACAGGGGAGTTAGAAGTCAGAACACACAGCGATAGTTACAAAGGCTCGTTTGTTGTTTTTATTGTGTACTACGTTGTTCTCAGGAACATGCTTGAGGCCTTGAACACGAATGAGCGAAGAAGACCAGATGAGCTGTGGGAGGATATTAAGGGTATCATCCAGAAAGAGTGCAAACGGTATAGGGTATAAAAGTTTAATCTATAGCCTTTATAGTATTTTTTATGTGAATATACATTTTAAAACAAACAAACAAAAAAGAGTGCAAACGGTCATTGCAAAGACAGAAGAGGAAGAAAAGACCAAAATGGATGTCAGAACAGACTCTGAATATTGCACTGGAGCACAGAGAAGCGAAAGCAGAAAGAAGAATTCAAGATACTATAAAGAGCTGAATAGAAGATTTCAAAAGGCAGCGCAGGATGACAAAGTAAAATATTACAATGAAACATGGAAGGAGTTAGAGTCAGAAAATCAATAGGGCCGAACTCACTCAGCATTTCTTAAGCTCAAGGACTGAAGAACAAATTCAAACCTCGATTTGCTATAATCAAGGATACTTTGTTGTTATGTGCTATCGAGTTGCTTGCTACTCATAGCAACAGTATGTGCAACAGCTCTAAACTCTGCTCTGTCCTGTGCCAATCTCATTGTCTCCGACACACTCATCCCGATTGCCCCAGTCATCAAATCAATCCACCTCCAAGAGGGCCTTCCCCTCCTGAGCCTGCCCTCCACCCTCCCAAGCATGATGTCCTTCTCCAAGGACTGGTCTCTCCTTACAACATGACCAAAGTACATTAGACAAAGCCTCAGAATCCTTGCCTCCAAGGAGCAGCCTGGTTTAACCCTCTCCAGGATAAATCTGTTTGTATTCTTAGCAGTCCATGGTACCCTCAACACTCTTCTCCAACACCAAAGCTCAAAAGCATCAATACTCCTTCTATCCTCCCTGGTCATTGTCCAGCATAACAAGTGATTACAAAGACCATGGCCTGTACCAGACGCACCTTAGTCTCCA